GCGTGGTGTGGACTCATCTGGCTGTGAACAGTGGCGAGCTCTTGTGGACATTTTATAAAACTTCGGGTTCCGTAAAAGGAGGAGTATTTCTTGGCTAGGTGAGCGACCATAAGCTTCTTAAGGTAGAATGAGCTTCAAAACGGATTTTGCTGTGGGTGTGTTCTCTATACAACGAGAGTTTATTGCTAATACGTAGTTTGTTAGCAGTCAAATAGTTTTGATTTCAATTCAATGTTAACTTTTTAAAGTTTTAATTATTAATGCCACGGTAATTATTATATTTAGTTAAATTTCACGTGGTTCAAGCAACCGACAGAACAATGTGCCTTTTGTGGAGTGATGAGATTTTACAGGTCTAAATTTACAATTTTATATTAAAATAATCTTTGTGATTATTTGTTCTTACGCTTATATTAAAATAAAATTTCCTCAGTATCAAAATTCTTGCCCATCTCGCATTTGCCGATTTCCGTAACATATGATTGGCCGCGTAGAACTGTTGCGAGGGGTCACAGGTTGCCGACCCCTGACATATAAAATATAAAAAAATGAAATTGAAACAAATTGAAACTGTGAGAGAGCTTGGATGTTCGACGCCTATTTATAAAACTTATTTCCCCTGGAAAAAATTAGATACTAGACGATAAAATGACTGAATTTGTTGACACAGTTTTGAGTTATGTTTGCGCTGCTGTTATCTGGTCTAAAATTATCAGAAAACATGGCAGTAAAACCCAATTACAAATGGCGTAAGTTCGATTGCGAAAACTGCTAATTTAACTATATTTCAGGTTGTCATTGTCGTTAACACTCGTGCAGGCCTACATTTTAGGAGGAACCTCTTTCGGTGTTTTGTTCAGAACTCATGCACACGTTAAGGCGCGGATGAGTGAAGAGACTTTTGTTTCAATTCGCTGTTTCATTTCTGTAAATGATGATAATAGCTGGACGTGAAATGTAACTTGCAACCGAAATCTTCATTCGAATGTATTCACTAGTTTGCAGGTAGCGTTGTCTTTAATTGTACACGATATAGAGCCTTACAATTTATTTATTTATTTAGTGTTCTGTCTGACGACAGGTCCATATGAACAGGATCCTTCCATCCTTCTCTCGGACTGGGACCTGTTCATATACGTTCTTGGTAGATGATCCAGAAGTGGTTTGCCATTGCCTTCTTCTGTGTGTGAATGGAGTAATTGTTGGGATGCCACGGAGGAAAACTCCGTGTTGCCTAGACCACGGCCTTGCCCAACACAAGTTATAAATTCGGGCACCGCCGGGAATCGAACCCGAGACCCCAGGATTACAAGGCCAGCGGCATATATTATATATATTGCTGAACCAGTTCGAAAAAGGATCGTGGCCTATTTAAGGATAACATGCTTGTAACGATTACCGAAAGCTACGGAAAATGTCGGTAATCTTGACGAGATAAGAATGGGATATTTTTCATATTCAGGCTTGAAGGTTAACCCCTACTCCGGTCTGCTCGATATTTACAAAAATATCAACCTTTTTTTGTGCTGAACAGTTGCAGTGTAAGTACAAAATAGGAAATCTCAGTCTGTCGGATTTGCTCCCAGATGTCGTTTTGTACAGAAACAAACTAACAAATTTTTTTTTATTATTATTATTATTATTATGTGACGCATTCACGCGATGTGAGCGAACCGCAAGTTTGCATGGATAAGCTTTAGTCTCACGTATTTTAATGGAAAGGAAACATGTTGCTCGTCTGTGTTTTGTTGCCGTTCTTGGCAAGCATATCAGTTCGCTTTACATGCATTCCAAAGTTTGGAAAACCAATGTATTTCAAAAATATTTCGCGTTTGGTGCATGGCCTCAATATCTTACACATAAATCTTTATTTATTTAATTAATAGTGGATTTTTCTGTTCTTTTAAACTGCTGCTTACTTTTTGCAAGCTATAATTACTATTTTCAGATTTAATCTTAGTACCTATTTGATTGCTATTATTTATATATAATTTTCACATATCTTTTCTTGGTTCTATCTTTTTCCATCGGAATCTTAACGGAATGTCTGTGAAATATAAATAAGAAGTTTTAAAAGTATGAAGTGTGGTAAAGATTGTCCATATTTTATATTTTTCCTGTCGTAACTGTCATTAATTTTTACACGACAAAATTGAAGTTCTACCAGACTCACGTTTTGTAGTGTGACTTATTTCAGGAGGAGGATGGAATGTTATTTAGTGTATGACAGCTGAGAAATACATGCAAAAATACAGTTGAGATACTTGAAGGGAAGATACAACTTTCTAGATCTGGTCATAGATGGAACATTACATCAAAGAATGTCATAAAATGTAAACTGCATAACATTGTAAATGATTGTAATTCGAGTTTTAAATTTTACCAATCTAATTTATACCTGAGGACGGTTAAATATAACCGAAACATGTCGTAAGAGACGTTCCAGTTTGTAAATCGATCATTCGATGCGGAACGTGAAATGATATTTTAAATATTTTATATTTTATTATCTTATTAAAATTGTGATTTGACGGAAAAATATTAAAATATTAAAAAAATATTAAAGTAAATAAGTAGGATACGATGGTGTAGATAAGAATTTAGTGATAACAAGTGTGAGTTTATGAGAACACGGAAATGATTTCCCGTTTCTATAAAATACGAGTAATTTCTTAATAATCTGAGCGAATATCAGCGTCTGTGTGGTTTTAAATCAAACACCTTTTTACATATTATCGCACTCTTTCGTTCTCGTTGTACGTAGCGCCGCGAATACGCGGCAACTTCTCTTACTCTGCTGTGTAGCGTGTAACATAAATGAAATAACATAGGCGCTTTTGTGTTTTTTCCATCGGGAGTGCAACGACTCTGTCAGAACAATTACAGTGATACGTTTATTGTTGTACCCCTCCCGCCATTTTCCCTTCCTCCCCTTTCCCACCCCTCCGACGCAGGTCATGGGCCAACATAAAATGACAGAACTGTATCAGTCCGACTGTAATGAACAATGGGTGAGATTTGTGAAGACGATTGTGATGAAGGACTCGAAAGAGGAAAGAGAGTGAACGAAGGAAGAAAAACGAAGAAAACGAGGCGATGAAGAAGAGAATTATAAAGCAAAGAGAGTTCGTAACTACTGAAAAATATTCATAAGATGATAGAGTTGCGTCATATTGTGAAAATATATATTTAATTAATTAATCTTGTCCGTATAATCACAATTTAAAATTTAAAATTAAGATAATTAAAATACCATGTGATGCTCCTTATCGAAACATTCGATTTACATTTGAAACATCACTTTCTCACTAATAACTGATAAAGAACTACAAAAAAGTTGCATATAAGAAATTATGATTAAGTTTTAAGTTTATATAATTGTAATTTTTACACACCTGAAGATGGTTCATCTAAGAACCGAAACATGTAGTGAGAAAGTGATGTTCCAAATGTAAATCGAATGTTTCGATAAGGAGCATCACATGGTATTTTAATTATCTTAATTTTAAATTTTAAATTGTGATTATACGGACAAGATTAATTAATTAAATATATTGTGAAAAACCTTCGACCCGGATGCCTGTTGTCCCGCTGAAAATTTACAACTTCGAATTTGAAGCGTCCTGACCATAAATAACTGCATTATAGTTCAGAGCGCTTTCACGTAATTACGGCTGACTGCAATTTGCTGATCTACAATATTATAGAACGCGCCCCCGAGGGAATATAATTTAACTCCGCTGAAGTTTCAAAGTGGCTTCCACAGATAAACATTACATATAAAATGTAACCCAACCCGGAAATAAAAACTAATATTCGTATATATTTCATGTTATTAAGGGACAGGTTCCCTGTCGCTTATCCTTAAATCATGTGCTTTGAAGTCTCAACTAGGAATCAGCCAATTTAAATTCAATGAAGATGAAAAAATATTAATCCTGGTCTCATATGAGCCATAAAAATTTCCAGAGTAGGTCAACCCCGAACTCTATTCACATTTAAGGACAAGAGAAGTTATTTGGAATTATTGCAAATGTCTACTGTCGAAATGGCTCAACATTCTCTGCTGTGACTTCAAAAGTCGCGTTGTCCTCACTAATGATATTTTTTTTAACGTGTCTCTGTATAATTTTATATTTGTTATTGAAATCTTAGACCCAGTACGCGGTTATCTTGTTATTTTTTAAAATATAACGTTCGGGAATGCAAATAAAGGAAGAAATATAATAGATAAAAGCAAAGATTTATTAAAAACAAGTGAAATTTTACGTCACCAAACTACAGGCTTGACAGTTTTCAATTTCTGTCTGGACGTTCACATCTGCAACATTCATTGCAACGTCGCTGGAAAAACAGACGGGGCTTTAGTCACGTAACTCTCCACCACTGGCGCTGCTGTGAAGGGAAGGGGCGTACGGCTGTTCGTAATGGAATAGGTCAAGGATACTCACGCTCATTGGAAAGGGTAATTGCTTTCGAGGTAAAGGGACCAGCGTCACCTCAGATATATTTATTTACGACTGAGAGGAATGTAGTGAATAATGAATTGAAAATGACGTGGAAGGAAGTGATCGTGGCCTAATTCAATGTACTATCAATTTATTTTTCTGGAGGGACTGAGGAAAACCACTAAAAATCTCAGTCATCAGATCCGGTCTCCAGGCCGAGCTTTAAACCCCGAACCTCCCGAATACGAAGCAGGATCAACGGTGTCTGTACGTGAGGTTGTTTTGTGCGAGCAGGAACCCAGACAAATACCGAGACAGCATAAATTACATCACAAGAAAGCAATGACGAATCCTTATAATGAGGTTAAAAAATTGTGTCGTGTACAACCACGGGCGAATACCCGCCCACACCGCCTGATCCAGAGATGCCTCTGTTATGTTGACGAGGTTCGTGATCCCCAACAGAGGTAGCAGCACCAGCCCTGCCCTCACAGGTTTCCTAGGGAATAACAGCAAGTTTAATTTACCCGACATATGCCTGGAGTGACTGAGTAAACCACGAATATATTTTATTTAGAGAATAAAAAAACATTAATATTGTTAACATTATTTGTACTATACATACAATATGAGGAAGCCATGTAGTCTGGTACAAATTCACCATGTTTCATAGATGCATACTATCATATGGGTGATAAAATGGTTGGAATATGGAAACAGGTCTGACAATGTTGAAACTTGGTGAGATCAATTGGGAATTGTCTCGCTCCTCCCCCCAGGAAGAGGAGCGAGACAAGGGGCACAAGTCACGAAAGAGTATCGGGATATCTTTACCGAAGGAATGGCTCAGGAGGTGTTGGGCCTCTGAAACTGGCACTCTGGTGAACACCAATGTGAAATTAAGGATGGTCTGAGGACTAGCAAAGAGAGATTTGATGGTATGGATGACTTCTCCAGGTGTTTGCTGCGCAGACAGGCCAGATGGGCCGAGCGATAGGTTAGGGCCACATTGGAACTCACAGTAGGCCTTGTGTAACTTCAGAAGCCTCTACAGTTTTATTGTTGGATGAACTCCTCAGAATGTGATGACCTCTTGACAAGAAGGGTAGTCTTTCATCCCATCGCCAATGATGAGCATCGTCAAGGCTTCAACCTACTGCACGGCCAACTTCTGACCAGTATCTTTGAAGGACAGCTGGGGAAAAGGGGAAAACCCCACACCATGTGATGAAGTTGATGACGTTCGTCCATGCCATGAAGTATCTCACTGTTGGTCTTGAGAACAGCCAGTAAACTTCAACCAGACTACGCAGCACAACATTGTAGTCCTGAGACGTAAGATGGTCTTGCAAGTATCCGTGTCAGTCCTGCTTGAACAGAAGTTACACACGCGAGTCGCCATCGTTTGTCCATCTGCCATAGGGTTATTTCAATCTGTTCTTGAAATCTTTGTTGTTCATCTTCAGTTCTTTCAACTTTTTCCAACAACTCTTCCTTCTTTCGACAGTTAGGCCAGTTTCACACACTTCAGTTGCGTTCTCCTTCGTTACCTTGAAAGTGAACAACATTTGCGTAAGTGTTTTGTATATTTTGCATCACTTCATGCATTAGAACACCTGAATCTAATAAATCTTTGTATATAGAAAATGTTTAAATTAACCAGTCTTATAAGTTCATTTGATTTGAGGCTTTAGGAGGGGCCGAGCACAAGTCTGATGTTTTAATAGCGTCCTGTCTAGTGGATGCCATGTGCTCTGTTCCTGGGGCAACGTGACCATAGTGCGGAAGAGACTCCTCACCTGCAGGTAGTGCCAAGTTTAAGAATGTGTGGAGCTTTACATCCACTCCCCCTATATGTCTCCACAGCGTGGTGCTTAGCCGCAGAGATAACTTCACATCTGTTTTATATTTTACTTTCAAGTAACAAATGCTACGATTACAAGATCTGTTAATTTTTCATTTTGGGTTACTTAATGCAATAAATGTTACCTGTTTAATTCAGTTTATTAAAGATTTGTGTACAGAGAGAAATTAAATAAGAGATATGAGGATGGCTCAGTCGGTATAGTGACTAGCTATGGGTTGGACGATTGGGTTTCGATCCCCGACGGGGGCAGAGGATTTTTCCTCTAGCCTCTGCCTTCAGACAGGCTCTGGGGTTCAGGGGTAAAGTGTGGCCGGGACGTGATGCTGACCACTCACCCCCATCTAGTCCCAAAGTCAAGAATGAGTAGGAGCTATACCGCCACTCCCCCCCCAAACGACCTGCATGGTGTGTAGCAAGACTGTTTTACTTTACATCACTTTACTTACACAAAATTCATTATCATCTTCATGTTTCATTTAACATTACTTGCAGTTTAAAATGAATAATTACATTTTTAAGAATGCATGAATAGTCTAAACTTATAAAAGTACTTCCTAATGAATATGTCACCATCATTCCATCTGATTACCTCATCTTCTTCATCCAGTGCTGCCTGCTGCGTCGTTTGCTGTTCTGCGATCTTGTTGTTTTGTTTTCTCACTAGGGACGAAATGAATTCTTCATAAGAGTCAAATAACCCACATAATCCTGCCTGTATCGCAAGGGATGCTGTGTGAATGTCAGTCACCTGCTCAAAAAACAAAAACAGATCTTGTTTAGAAAGTGTAGCCAATCCTTTAAACAAACGAATAATGTTAATTTTTCCTTTTCTTTTATGTGATTGTAAAATTCACTTCTTGTGGCATACCTGTTGCCGAAGCTTGAACATGTCCAGCTGCTTAGTGACGCGTTTATCATTCCGTTGCACGTTGTGAAAAGCATTCAGTGATTGGCTGCACATATGGAAAAAATAACAAACATTTATAAACTTTGTGTGTAAGGGACCACTTGAGAGGTAAATACAAGGGGACGAAGAGCTTGGATTGTATTTTGTAGAAGAGGATGTAGAGGAAACCAATTAAAAAAGAGAACAAACCTCAATTTAAGGCCTCGCCTTTCCTCCTTTGATTCTGTCGGTGTTTTGCCTGCAGACTCGAAGAACTTCACCAGATCCTTCACCTTCGGGTGATTCGAATCTTCTTCCAAGGTTACTTGTTCTCGTCGAACTTTAATCTGAAACTGGAGCTGTGCGATTTTAGATTCATTTCTACGTAACCTGTGTTTCAATTTGCTGAATTCTTGTTGTTCAGTTCTTAATTGAATATCCCCCCCAAAGTCTTCAGAGGGGGGAAAAATATAAAATTTTAATTTGTTAATTAGACTAGTGAAAGTAATCCTACAACATTGCATTTAAATTATAATAGTGTTTCATTGAATTGTTATGGTGTTTCGGTGGACACATAAAGCGATTAATAAAGAAAGTATTTTGAGAGAAGTACATGAACATGAATTAGACAATATAGGTAAATAAAATTAAAATTATGCCTTTCGCAGGAAAATACCCTGCGCGATCAACACATGGTCTGTATAATAATTAAAATGAACAAGTAAATTGCCTTGTCCAGGATATAATAATATTCAGAGATAAAATTTTAAAAAAAATTAATTAAATACGTGGGCCAAAAGAGAAGAGTGATAAATAAAGACACACATTAAATTTCAGCTCAGAAGTGAGGACACTAACAAAGGACAGAAACTACACTAATGAAATTCCTCAGTAGTGTCGCTGGATTTGCATTGCAACAAAATTAGTAATGAATTATACATTTAGTTGAAATGATATAATTAGGAAAAGCAGAATGAAACTTCTTCAGACACTTAAACAGAGTAAGAGCTACATATAAAAAGGAAGAAGATTCTTTAAAGCCCCCAGAACAGGTGGAAGGACCAACTGAAAATGAAGCAGACATAAGATCCAAACCTTGGTGCTGAAGAATAGGAGGCGGAGGACAATGGATTGGGTTACAGATACATTGATAAGATATATAAAATTATATACATGAAAATCACCGGTGCTGTTGAAGTAATCATGAAGCAGCATGTACCCCCAAAATGTTGGTATCTACCAGCAAGTCCACGTGGTGTTAATGCCCAGAAGACAAAAATTAATGTCCCTGATATACGAAGTTCTCGTGGCGACGAAGATCTTGACCGTGGTCTTCACGGTCATAACGTACGTGGACTTGTAGATGGTTACCAATATTTGGAGGAATAAATTTCCCCCATTTTCAAGGGAAATGTAAAGGAACAATTGAGCAGATGGACAAAAGTTATTCAGAAACCAAACTACAATTTAAATGGTATCTGAACGAAGTAAGTATTTTCATGTCATGACAGCTGTCCTGTTCGAATACATATATAATCTATAATACAATAATTTATTTTATTACTGTACATACTTTTAACAACAAAAACTACATAACCAACAAAACCTCAGCAATGTCTCACATATTTACTACGTTATTATAACCAGCTGTAATAAACTGAAGAAAAAAATATGGAGTAGTCTACAATGGCATAACTTCAATACCAAATTTCACTAAGATCTGCCCAGAGGTTCTTGAGTTGAAATATGTAAATAAATAAACAGACACATCAGCCATATTATTTCCTTCTGTGCACACCGATAATGGAGACACAAAGATATGTGACACAACGAAGAAATGTGAGATGGTAGCACGCATGGTAAAAACCTGAAGGAACAAGACCACTTGCAAGAAAACTAGGCATAAGTGGAAGTATAATATTAAAATGGCTCTTAAATAAATAGTGTGAGACTGTGGACTGGATTTATCTGGATTAGGATAAGGTCCAGTGGTGTTCTTGTGTACAAAGTAATGAAATTTTGGGCTTTTAATCAGCTGAGTACCTGTCACCTTTTCAAGAAAGGCTATGACCATTTAAGTAAGTATACTAGAAAAGTTACCTCGACTGTACGGCTCTTCTTTGCTGTATTTATGCAGCAGTGAGTTTCAGCTCTATACGTTGCATAACACAGTTCTTCCTGAACACCAGTGAATTTTTCACTGAAATATTTCACGAGTCTCTTGACCGTGCCCTCCGCAACTGGTACATCCATGTTCGGAGAAGACGCGCAGCCTAAAGAATGTGGAGGAGCATAAGGTAGTACCCCACAACGTATTACATATCATGTTGTTTCAAAACTTAAAATTGTACTTGTATAATACACAGAATGTATTTCAAAATGAGTAATGTATTTTTTGAATAGATATGAAAAATTATCTGTGAAAATATTCGAACACAAGAAGCATGAAGGAAGCGAGTAACTTATCACATGAGGAACGTTGTGATTGGCTCAGCATGTAGCTGGGATGGGTGGAGACAATGATCGTTTATCAAATTCTAGTATGGAAATCTCTTCGGAAAATTCCCCATGAAAGACAGAAGGAAATATGAGGATAACATTAAAATGAATCGTAGAGACACATTATAAGGATGGGAGGCAGGTGGGACTGGTGCAGATCGTCCCCAGTGCTACCACACTATTAATCAGTGGGGCACAAAAGGATGAAAGTCTCTTTAGCATGCGCTAAAATAGGCCACGATCGATTCCTTCTTACATTACTTCCAATTCACCAGATATTCTAACTACCATCTGACAAAGTGTCAGTTCCTAAAGATTATTAGACAGCTTAACCTCACTTTCACGAGGTGAGCTCAGTTCTTTTTTAAATGAACATGCTATTTCTATCTTTTATTAATTGCTTAGAGAAGTGCTTCTATATTTTTAAAGTTTATGTACGCAACCGATGCTACAGTTTCAGCCTTCTGTATTCCACTCTCCCAATAGCACTTGCTGTCTCATTATATCCAGTTGATATCATTCTGTTTAATTTGAAATATTTTATTGAACAGTTCATAGTGAAATCTTGCAATAAATGCTCCTCCCTCATACTAAGAATTATCCAAATTCTTTTCATATAAATATCCTCATCCTTCATTTTTCAGAAATTGGACATGATGAGACAAGAAACATGTTTAAAATAGTTTCAAAAGAATACTGCAGTTGTATTTCAGTTTCTGAAGCTGTAGGAAAGGTCTCATATAAAGTTTTAAGTTTCTTATTGGCATTGTAGCTTCATTAAATCATGTAGTGGAATAGGTAAACTGAAATTCATTAAAATACTTACTGTTTGTCATCGGTACATTTGATCTTGATTCCATTTTCAATTTCGAAACAGACTGAAAATTCACCACTAAACACACTATACTGAGCATACTTCTAAACCATTATTACTGTCACAAACCAAACAGTTGTTCAGCAACAATGCTGTCGGGATTTCAATAATACAAACTTATCCTGGCCAATCAGGAGCTGTTTTGTGTGTGACGTCAGATCCATACCAACAATGTGTAAATATGGACCGATAATGGTCAGCTTTTATATGAACTTCTGCGTGCATAACTAATTGTTACATCATCTGTTTACTAGGAATTGTTGTGTTTAATTATTGCAGTCAACAATCCGCTTTCGTTATTGCGGAAAAGGCTGAGCTGTGAATCGCTTGTAGAAGAAGTGTGTCATAGAGTAAATAATTTTGTGCTGTTAGAAACGTTTCAGACTATCACAAGTACTTATCTTATTATATAAGAATTATTAAGAAATCTGTGATACTGCCTTCCACCCCAAATTTACAGAGATGTTTTCAATTATGGCCACAGAAGGTAGTAATACAATGCCCATAATATTGGCAGGAGATTTTAACATTGATTTAAAGAAGGAGGAAAATCGAAGCTTTGTCACATTTATGGAGGAAACGTTTGGCTTAATGTTGATGTCAAATCCTCAATGTAGATAAAAATCTTGTATAGATATGGTGTTTGCACGAAATGTTGATACTCTAAAGTGTAAAAATTTTATGACATATTTCAGATACCACAGACCCATAATAAGCGTAACTAATTCAAGTTGAACAAGCAATGTCTTAATCAAACTATTTACTCAATTATAAAGCATGTATAAAGGGAATATTTAGAATAAAGGTAATATATAAACTTCCTTTCATTGTATTTATTGCCTAAATATAATTTAAATAGAAAGACGTATTTACGTCAGATTCTCCGGAACCGTGGTTCCACTGTCAATGTTTTTTATGAAAGAGAGAGCGAGACCAGATTCGCTGAAAACCGACACCTGAATGGTAGGTTAAGTATGGTTATGTTGGTGTAATCATATGTAAGACTAGTGTCTGACTCCATCAATATTGTGTTAACCAGATCCTGCCACCCGTCCCTATCTTGAACCACATGAAACCAGTCAGCATCTATATATTCCATTGAACTATAAGATCTGTTGAGCTGACGAACCTGGTTGCGCAATGCAGTTATTTTATCATAGATGTCAGGGTAAGTGTTATTGAAATTTAGTTCTCTAACCTATTTAAGTTTACGTTATGGCCGCGTCCGGTGTGTTCGATACGTCTGAGAAGGAGGTAGAAGTCGTGTTTCTAATGTTTATTCATTGTATATGTGTAATTGAAACAAACAAACGCACCAAGAAGTATCGCTTAGCACTACTACATTAAGACGTGACGATACATTGCAAGAAATTAACTGAAAAATATGTTCCATTTTAGGCATCCAATTTGGGAATGGTAAAGGACTGGCTTTTCAATGTGTTCTTTCTACAAGCATCCTGTCAAGAGGTGGGTGTGTATTATTGTTTTGTCAAAGGTAATTAGTATAGCGTGTAATCGGTTTGAATGCAGTTTTGCTTTGTAGATGTGTTTATTACATGTAATTCGATTTATGTAGGTAGCCGTGCTTTGTTAAGAACTGCTTTATTATGTATTTTAGTTGCCAGTTTCTTCTGTTTTAGGGCAGCAGGACCTTATAAACGTTTAATTATGTAGGAAAATCAAACAGAATATATAACTTAATTGATGGCAGTTCTACAAGGCAGGCTTTAAATTCTGTAGTTGTGTTATTGATCGACATTTATTTTGGTTGGATTGTTGAATTTATTTTTAGAGGGCGATCGTAAAAAATGAAGTGAATGATTTGAAGAGACGAAACATCGCAACTAATATTTTAGTAGAGATTGAAGTGTAGAAGGAATTGTCTGAAACATGGAAAATAGTGGTAGGTAAGCTAAACGAACGTGCCTCATGACTTAAATGTCAAGATCATTTATTGATATGCAATTGAATGGTTTGGTGAATTAAGGAAGTAGATTCAGAAGCTGAGTGATTTCAATTATGTGAACATAGTTTTGACATATAAGTAGATTCAGAAGCTGAGTGATTTCAGTTATGTGAACATAGTTTTGATATATTGTATAAATTAAGTTTTTACAAACTTGCTGTTGGGAATGTGGAAGAGCATTGCTTTGGACACCATATCGTACAGAATGAAAATGCTGCATTAGTTGAAAAGAAAGATGGGTAGGCCTTGTAGCACAAATGGGAGTGATGATAATTACATACAAAATTTTGTTTTGTAAAATCAGAAGGGAAGAGGTCACTTGGGAGACCTTGAAGACGGTTTGGACAGGCTCAGAATAGAGTCCATTGGCAGGATGTTGTGAACGAGGTAATGAACATTCTTTTCTCGTAAAGGAACTGAACGATTGTTGAGTTCTGTGTTCTGTGGAGTTAGTAAGTGAAAGAATATTAAGTTTATGTACAGTTATTTGACTGTTAAGTGGCAAAGGAACTCACATAACAAAAATATTTTATCAACTCTCTCCTGAAATGTTCCAGATGACGTAAGAAATGCTTCTTCTGATAACAGTTACAAAGAAATATTTGGTGATGAACTAGCCTTTTATGAAAAAAATCTTCATGTTGGTCTGTGTTCCAGAATCCCGTAATTTCTTGTGCCATTGTACATTTTTAAAACATAATCCTCCTTTGTTGTCTTTGTATGTATATGGAATAGAAATCACAAGTCATGGCAAAATATGTACGTTTATTAACGCCGTTGGTTCCAAAAGCTTACGCACGACAGCGCTGCCCCCCATTTCATGGAATTCAAAGAGTACAAAGGATATCACAAGAGATATGTTTGATGCGTTGCTAGATGTCTCTAATATCCATATCATGGCTACGAGACATTGCAGAAAATTGTTGCAAAACGGGTTGAGGTTGTTGAAACCATATGCTTTCCTTGAACCAATTATAACCCAAATCGAAGCAGAAAAACCTTGACTTACTTGTAGCGCGAGTCTTTTGTTGCATGTCGTAACTGTCGAGGTGAAGGTCTCTGACGTCATGGTTACGTATTTCGTACGGTCAGCGCTTGCGCAACAGGTCTATCAGATGAATGCGACGTATGGCTGCAGATGTGGTCGGTGAGTTTGGGTATCCATGATGTTTGACCACCATTAAAGTTCAGCGGGAAGAATATTTACCGCCTGTTTTAACTGGATTTTGCATCACAGGTTATTTCCTCGAACAGAATTGACATTTATATTTGTAATGGTGGTTTGTTTTCTTTGCGGTACGGACTGGATTATTAGTTCTATGAAATTTTAGAGGCCGATCTAAACTAGTCATTTTAACGCATAGGCTAACACAGACTAATATTTGAATTCATTGAATAGTTTGTAGTCTTATAAACGAAGTCAGGGTCCTGTGTTTGAATCTGTGATGCTCTCTCAGCAGATCCAGATAAACGTAGAAAATGTTTAAAATGAATTTTAGTGATAACAGTGATAAAAGTGGAAGTATAGTACGTAAATTTGATTGGAGATAGCTTTTTCTCTTTATTTTGTGAATAAGAAGATAAGTAGGTTAGAGTTCGTCAATGAAACTTATGTTGAAAGATACAATGCTTATCAGGACGATATTTGGTAACACTTGCGTGCTGTGTGTGTGTGTATAATGTTTCTTTTTTATCACGTAATCTACGCTTTCGAGTCTCGTGTGCATTGAAGGAAGTGATTGGGCTGTTAAGATTTTGTTAGACCCTTTCTGAATTTATTTAACAGCGATTTCTAGGAACCGAAAATGTGGATTGTCGAATGGCTGGCGATCATAATTTAAGATACTCAGGGATTAAGTTAGGTTAGGATAGGTTTCGTTACGTTAGGCTATGTCAGGTTAAGTTAGGTTAGGTCAAAATTTTGGAAAATTACAAAATATACTATGTAAAAGTTAAAATTTTGGAAAATTCAAAAAAAATTTGTTTTGAAGATCTGAAAAAGTTTCCAGAATTGCGTAACAAACTCAAAAAGTAAAAAAAAAATCGGAAGTTTCAAAATATTTCATAATTTTTGAATAAATTATATGAATTTCCAAAATTGGCGAAAAATCTCGCGAAATCAAAATTTTTCGAAATTTTTTTCTCTCCAAAATTCAAATCACTCGGCCTTCATTTGAGCCACGTAGGCAAGCCCTGGGTGAGCTTAGCTTAGCTTATGTTAGGTTAGGTTACGATAAGTCCCAAACACTTGTCAGGTTCAGTAGCGACTTGTCAAATACATCGCGACGATCAAACACTTGTCAGGTTCAGTAGCGACGTTCGATGGTCATTTTCGAACCATGTAATCTGTTATGTAGGCCACACAATTCCGCGTAGGCAAGAGCCCAAAAGTTTATTTTCGTTTTTATGGCCGGCTTTTGCTTGCAAAATATAATTCCCCTCTCCCGCTCGGCGAGGATCACAGTTCGCCAGTTTTAATGCTTGCCAAGTTGCCAACTTTAAATGCTGAGAGAGGGAGATCGCCGTTCGATTATTTTCTGGTTGCCCCAGCCAACTGGCACAGCGTCGGAATTTAGTCTTAAATTTTTGGCCAACTAGTTCCTGGGAACAGAATCGTCATCTGGTCGGGTTTTACGGAAACCGAAGGTTTGTCGGTGAACTCCCTGGTTACGTAAACCAGACAGGAACTGAGACGGGGAGCTACAAAGTACTTCCGCCCGCGAAATAAAATTTTAAGTGTGGACAGAATATTTTCATTTGCTAGTCCTCTCAACCCGACCTCTCTGTTACTTTTACCATTTACTTATAACGGACGTCGAACGCACATATTCGCCCCCACTTCTTTACACCTTGAGCGCAGTTATGGTAAAAACGGCAGTGTTAATTCTCATTAACTAACTAACTAACTAACTAGATGGCTTACCGAACTCGAAGGTTCATCACCGAATTAACCAAAGCCCTCCACCGGACCCTGTCCTGGGCCAACAAAATCCAGTCTCCTTCAACTCCTATCTCCCATAGATCCCGCCTGAGATTATCCTCCCATCTACGTCTAGGTCTCCCCAGAGATCTCTTCCCCTCAGGCTTCCCAAATAGTGGACCCAACCAACCAGATGACTTACGGAACTCGAAGGTTCATCACCGAATTAACCAAAGCCCTCCACCGGACCCTGTCCTGAGCCAGCAAAATCCAGTCTCCTTCAACTCCTATCTCCCATAGATCCCGCCTGAGATTATCCTCCCATCTACGTCAAGGTCTCCCCAGCGGTCTATTCCCCTCAGGCTTCCCAAATAGTGGACCCAACCAAACAGATGGCTTACAGAACCCGAAGGTTCATCACC